TCCACGGCGATGTCACTGATGATGGTGCTGCGGGCAGCCGAGAGACTGTCCTCCATGCCCATGAAGCACACATTGTAGGGGACGGTGACGGCTACGTAGAAGGTGGCCATCAGGATCAGCCAGTCCCACAGTGCCTTAAAGATGCTGTAGTGGAGCAGGATGAAGCGGGATTTCTGCACCGAGGCCACCTTGTACTCGGGGATGGATGGCTTGCCCTCAAACACGTTCTGGGGGAGCAAGCATGGGGTGGTACAAGGACGGTGCAGGGCCTGCAAGAGGAGTGAGGGCCACCACAGGCCCCGCTCCTCCTGAGTCCTGCCAGTCTGGCTGCCACTCCCTGATGCCAGGGTGATGGATGCACTGAGGTCACCCTCAGAGGTGGGCACAGAATGCCTGATTATGGCACATCAATTAACACGATGTCAATGCTAATAATGGTAATCCCCTGGCACTGCCAGCTGCTGCCCAGAACCATCTCAGGGGCCAATTCATGTGCTGGGGCAGAGACGCCCCCCTACAGGGACACAGCACTGACAAGAGGCAACGTGACACCAGCTGGGTGAGGGCAGACCCAGGGCCGTCCCACCCCAAATCCCTAAAATTCAAGATTGATGCAGTGACACCCTTTGCCTGCTCACCGGCTCTGGGACCCAGTGGCTCTCAGACCCTCTCTCTGGCCCCATGGCTGCAGGTGGTGCCTGGGGACCCTGTGTTGGGCACTGCAGCCATGCAAAGGGCCTGGCACAGGAACTGACTCTGGTCCCTGCCCTGGCTGGCAGCCCCATGGCTCTGGCAGCCCCACGGCTCTGGCAGCCTGGTAACGGCACTCCCTGGGGCCAGCATGGCTGTGCTCAGAGCCAGCACTGGGGTTTCCTGACAGCGAGCATGTGAGGAAAGGCACAGCCCTGCCAGACCTGCCAGGTCTGCTGCTCCCATGGTAAGCTCTGGGCACCCGCTGGGCTCTCCTGCTTCCAACCAAACACATGTGCAGCCTGGCTACAGTGCAGCTGCCAGGGGTGGGGGGCACTTCAATGCTGGGGAGGCCAGGGATGGGCGTGCATGGGAACAGCATCCCCGGGAGGCTGGGCTCTGCTGGGAGCTGCTCTCCGGGAGAGCTGCTGCATTGCCAGTCCATCGCAGCCCCAGCCCAGGAGGCACTGGGTGAAGCTGAGGGTCCCCCAGGTCCTTACACGGTTGATTTTCACCTCGCTGCGGTCCCTCCGGACAAACTGGCTGTTGAGTCGGTGCAGCACAGTCCGGCCCTGCCTGCGTGCGGCCCGCAGGTGGGAACTCCCAGGCTTCTTGTTCCTCTGCTTCTCTGCAGCAGACAGGACATATTGAGTTAGTGGGAGTGCTGTGCCATGGGTGTACATGGCAGGCAGGACGCGCCAGGGAACAGGGAGTCTCTTTGCCACATGCCCACCACACACACTGCTCCCCAAATTCCATCCCCATCCCACAGCCATGGCTCACCCTCCTTCTTGTCCCCCGGGTGGCTCCTGCCCCGGCTCTCTGTGAGGTCCTTGAAGGAGAAGAGGAAGAGAACAACCTCCCCCTTCTCATTCTTGATGGGCATGATGTCCAGCAAGCACCAGAAGGCATCTCCTGTGTGGAGGAAGAGGGTGGTGAAGGCAGGGCAGCACCACCTCTTGGTGGCTTCTCCCAGGGCCAGCCGGAGCTGCGGGCAGGGACCCAGCCCCAGTGCCACTCACCACCCTTCTTGTAGAAGCAGACCTCGGACTGGTACTCCTGCCTGTCGTCCAGCGCCTTCTCAATGCACTGCAGGACGGGCTCGCTGGTCTCAGCCCCGCAGAGGAAACGGCAGCTGCAGTTCTTCTGCATGACCTCGGTGCGGGCGAAGCCGGTGAGGTCGCAGAAGCCGTCGGAGCAGTAGACGATGGGGAAGCCGCAGCGGCCCTGCGCGTTGGCCAGGATGAAGTTGCTGTCTGAAAGGAAACGCAGCCGCCCCTGAGGGCTCAGGGCCACCTCACAGGGCACAAAGGGCAGCCCAGCCTGCCCAGCACTCCCAGCCCCACACAGGTCCCCCTGGGAAGCAGAGCCAGGTCTCCATCCGGCTGCTGGCTGCCCCTAGAGCTCACTCATCCCTTGCCCCACTGCTCCCCGAGGCCGTCACCCAGGCAGGACCCCAGCCCCATGCACTGGAAGGGGAAGTAGCCCTGATCCATGTGCCGGCCCCCATTGCCCACGCGAGGCGACTCACGCCTCCCTCTCACCATCTGCCACTCCAGCTCCGCCCGGGCTCAGGCAGCTTAGCGAGAGCAGCAGCAAACACAGCTGGGCACTGCCAGCCCAGGGGTGCCCAGCTGTGGTGCTGAGATCCCCAGAGGTCTGGGATGCTGGATCACCGGCTGAGAGGGTGGGAGAACAGCCACAGGCCTGGGCAAAGTCAAGGGCTTGTGCCCAGGTGGCACGAGCCAGAGGTGAACTACAGCATCCTCAGTCTGTCAGCACCATGGAGCCTCCCCAGCATCACCCTGCCCTAGCAGGGAGATGGCACCAGGCACAGTAAAGCCCTCGCAAGCCCCATGCCCTGCCCAGCTACAGAATGGCAGCTCTGCCCTGCAGTCCCAGCTGTGGGCTCTGTCCCAGGACCACAGCAGCTCCTGCTGCAGGCCCTGTGCCAGTGGGACAGATGGGCTCATGCTAGCAGCATGCCAAGGAAGTGGGTGTGTGGCTGGCATGGGCTGTGATTGCACCCAGCATGGGCAATCTGGGCTGTCCCCAGCCCCACCACGGTCTCCAGTGGTGGGGCCCCAGCCCAGGACTCCTGCACCACACAGCCAGGAGCAAGAAAACATGCTCTGCCCCCCCCTCACAACAGAGAGGAGCCCACAGCAATGCCAGTGCCTGCACTGAGCAGGCAGAGCAGTGCCAGGGCAGGCCAAGGGCAGCAGAGGCTGCAGAGGGAGGGGATGGCAGCCGTGGGCAGCCTTGGCCGAAGGGGGTGCAGGGGGGCCACCACAGCACAGCTCAGCCCGGGATTAGCTTGGAGAAGCAAAAATAGCCTGAAGCTGTGACTAAGGCCAGATTTTGGCTCTGGGGAGCCGGGATTATGGTGATGTTCAGGATGTGTTATTAGAAAAGGAAACAAGGGTTTGCACTGGGGAGTGGCTCCACCGAGCTGGAGGATGCAGCCTTGGGGGAGCCCCCAGCCATGGTGGCCAGTGTGCCTGTCCAGGAGCCCCGGGGCACAGCGCAGCAGCTGCCCGGGAGAGGCAGGGTTAACTCACTCCGAGTATCACTGCGCTAAACCCCTCTCTATGGCAGATAAAGCCGATAAGAGGCACATCAAACCTGCAAAGCCCCACACTGTTTAAAAGTGCCCAGAAGCGGTCGGGCAGCCCGGTTCCCCGGGGCAAATTCCCAGGGCTTTGCGTCGTGGTGTTGCAGGCAGCTCCCTTGGGGACCCTTCCCTTGGAGAGCCAGATACAGGCGCTCTGCCTCTGCGGAGGGAGTGGGATCACCAGCGCAAGGCACATGTGGCTCTGTCCCAGCACCTCCAGGCGCAGCTCGGTCGGAGCCTGGGAAGGCTCAGAGGCTAGCTGCCTCCTCACGCATTACACCCCGAATGTAACATCCCACGTCCCAGCTCCTCTGGGTAAACGACCCCTGAGCCACCAGGGCGGCTCCTTGTCACTCCAGGCCGGGAGCCAGCCCAGCACAGCAGCCAGCACATGCCCCAGGGTGTTCCAGGTTCCTTGACGATGTCCTGGGAGGTGGCTGCAGACTAAAAGTGCCATCTTTATGCCTCCCAGCAAGGGTGCCAGCCCCGCAGGCACCTGGTCCGGGAGACCCCTACTCCAGGTGATCCTGGGGGGAGCTGAGGTCAGCCCCGAACACGGCCCGACCCCAGGGTGGCTGCATGATGCCAGCGGTGCTGGAGCTGACTCGTGGCACCCGGGCATGATCCATCCCGGCTTCAATCCATCCTGGCCCCGGCACACGGACACGGAGGGGAGGGACCTCAGCGCCCGGGGACCGCTCGGGCACGGGACGGGGCAACGCGGGGCCCCAGCTCAGCTCCGACAGTGTAAGACCGGCCGTGCCCCCTCCGGGGCACCCCCGCTCCTCCGCGGCCCCGCGCGGAGCCTCACGCCGCCACCGGGATCTGTCCCTGGTGCTGAGCGCGGCTGCGGCGACACCGAGCGGCACCGGCGGCGGGCGCGGGGAGAGCATCGTGGGGGCGGCCCGGGACACGGACAGGGGGAGTCCCGGTGCACCGAGGCCACACAGGGACACGGAAGGGTCCCCGAAGAGCGCGTGGGTGGCCGCGTCCGGCCGAGCGGCGGGGGCTGCGGGGCCGGGCCGAGTCCCGTCCCCCTGGCCGTTTCCTGCGGGGCAGCGCCTCCCCACGCCCTGTCTCCCCCCCGCCCCCGCGGCCCCTCCCCGGCCCGGTCCCGGTCTTACGTGTGCCATCGAAGCGGGTGGCGATGGTGTCCAGGAAGGTGTTCTGCGGCGCCAGCAGCCCCTTCATCACCGGCATCGTCCCGCCCGGCCGCCCGCCGCGGGGCTGCGGCGGCGGGGCTGCCTCCGCCGCCCCCGGCCCCTCCGCAGCGCCGCGGGCTGATCCCGGCCCGCCCGGGGCTCCCGCCCCGCCCCCGCCCCGCCCCGGCACCGGGAGGGGCCTCGGCACCAGCGGGCACCGGCCGCCGCCCGCGGGCAGGGCGCTCGGTCCCGGGGGCGCACGGAGTTGGTGGCGCCGGGACCTGCTCGGCACCGGACCCGCCGGACCGGGAAGCACCGGGACTCCGCTGGCCCCAGGACCCGCTCAGCCCCCGCCCTCCTGGGCCCACGGAGGGGGCAGGACCGGCCGCGCCTCCGTTCACCCCAGTCCTGGTCCTGCACCCACTGGCGCCCCAGTGCAGGCGCCACAGGTGAAGCCAATCCGGGCACCGCGGAGGAAGGCACTTGCCTTGACAGCTCACCCGGCGCTGAGCCGTGCCCTCCTGACCCCTCACCAGAGAGACGACAGAGCCGGGTGACATCAGGCTACCGTTTATTGTAAAAGGCCGCGATGCCCGCGGTGCCCTGGGCAGGCTGAGCCAGGGAGGAGGTATCTAAAAGTGCTATTTACACCGAGCTCCGGGTGCGTGTCCCAGGATTCCATCCCCCCCAGGGATCCCCTCTCTGCCCCCACTGCCTCCACCCCACTCAGTAAAAGCTCCTTGCCGCTCCCTGGGCCTGGCTCGAGCTCAGGTCCTTCCCTGAGTGTCCCTGGCACTCCCTGGGGCCGGCAGGGCTGGTGTCAGCACCCTGCGGTGCTGGCGTTGGCTGGGTGTCCACGCCTGCAGGGCAGCTTGATGTGTCATGGCAGGCAGTGCCAGGGTGCTCCCCGCGCTTGCCCATGGTGAGGATGCCCGCGGCGTGGTTGCCGGAGCCATGGAGCAGGCGGTAGAGCCGGCTCTGGAAGGCCAGGGGGACACTCTTCCTCTTGCCCAGAGTGAGGATACCAGCGGCGTGGTTGCCCATGCCGTGCAGGAGGTCGTAGACACGGCAGGAGCAGGTCTTCTGCCGGCAGCAGTCGGGTAGGCTCTGCCGGGGAGAGGCCAGGGAGCAGAGAAGGAGCAGGAGCAGGAGGCAGGAAGCTCGCTGGAGCTGCCAAAGCAATGGGCAGCATTAGTACAGGGCAGTGACAGCGCAGAGAGGGGGAGAGTGCACAGCCCCAGGGCTGCCCCCCTGTCCTACCTTGCCCACTGATGTCTCAACTGCCCCCTGCCCAGTCGCTGCCACAGGGGCCCAGCCCCACACCTGAGGTGCACTCAGAGTGTCACCCTTTGGTGCCCTGGGGCATGGCCAGCACCTCCAGCTGTGCTCTGACCAGCAGCCAGATGTGGGTGCCCTCACCACACCCCTTCCCTGCTCCAGCACACAGCAGCCATGGCAAACACCCTCCCCTTGCTGCCCAGTGCCACGGGATGAGCAGTGGGAGTACCCAAGCTCAACGCCACAGGCATTGCGCACTCAGATCCCTCATAAGAAGCTCCTTGATCAGCTGCTGGCCGCAGCTGAGGAGCCCTGGGGACTTGCCACACACTTGGAGTTTCCCAAGGAACTGGCCAGGCCCTCCTGTACCCCCAGTCCCACATCCTGACCTCCCTCCCATCACTGCCCTCCTCTACCCCCAGGGCTGCAGTGCCCCAGCCCCACCTTGGTGTTTGGCACCTCCATCCTTCCTGGGGTCTTCAGGCAGCTGAGTGGCTCTGGGGCATGTCCCACTGGGCAGCTGAGAGCACAGTGCCCTGTGCTGCTGCTGCCGCTTTATAGGGCCCAACACAATAGTGCTGCCAAAAATACCGCTGGGGCAGCGGGAGCAGACGGTCTCTGGGAGACACGGGTGCGCTGGGGCCGGTAGCCCGGAGACCATCCAGGCCTTTCCCCTCATTTGCAGTTCCTCATTGTGTAGGTGCTCAGTGGCTGGGGTGCCAGGCACTAATGAGGCCCTAATTGCCCACAGGCCCTGTGGCCAGGCTGGCACAAAGGGGCTGGAGGTCAATACTGACCAGCACCGGCAGCACAGCGCTCCAGGCTGATGCTCGGAGCCCCATTAGGCTAATTATCCCCCTGAACAAAGGGGTGCTGGCAGCAGCACAGCTCCCTGACGTGGGGAGTCGTCATCCTGTGCTCCCCATGGTGTCAGGGAGGGATGGTGCCATCAGGGTCCCATACCCGGTGCCACCCTCCATCCCTTTTGGTGACCCCATCCTGCCCTGGCCCCATGCCAGGTACAGAGGGAGCCACAGGGCACCAGGAAGGTTCTTACACTCTTTATAATGCTCCACAGCCCCAGTCCAACCCCAGACCACCTTCCTCTGTTTGTGCTGGGACCCCCTTGCCCTGGGGGACAAATCCCAACATTTCCCTGATGCCAGAAGCCACATCCACTGGCACTCTGGCCCCGCAGCTGCTGCACCACATAGCCTCCCAGCCCCTCTGCACAGTGGGGGCCCCAGGGGTGTCACAGAGGTGACAGGACTAGCCAGGACCCTTCCTGCCAGCCAGATTTTTTCCCCAGGGCTGGCAACAGCCTGCAGCCCTGGGGAGGGAAGGCAGGAGCCCAAACCTGGGGCTGCTTTTCCAAGCAGAATCTGGCACAGCAGGCTACACGCACACGGGCACCAGAGTACCAGCATCCCCACCAGCCCTGCAGCAGAGTACAGGCTCTGGAAGCAGATGGGAGGGATGGATGAGTCCCTTAGGAGCTCAGGGGAGGCAAGCAGGAGTAGGATCATCCCTCCTCAACCTCTCCACTGAGCCGTGATGCAGCCCCTTAACACGGCAGAGCACAGGCTCCAGATGTGTCCCCCCAGGCAGCCTGAGCCTGCAAGCAGCTGCCTGTCCATGGGCAGGCTGGGACTCCTGCTCCTGTGGCTGGGGATGCTCAGTCTGGGCCCCTGAGCCCCAGGCCGGGGTCAGCAGGACGCTGTGTCACCGCCTCCATCAGTCTCGGGGATGGGCTCCAGTGGGGCACGCAGCCGGGAGAGCTCTGGTGAGGCCGAGCCGTTCCTGCCAATGCCACAGGACTGTCCTGCGTTGTGGATCTGCCACAGGTTGTCCAGTGCCTCCGCCTTGGCGTGCTTGAGGAGGTCAGCCTGGCCCTGCAGGGAGGGGGCATCGGGGGGGGGGGTTAGAGTGAAGGCATCAGGGTGAGGTGTCAGGGCAGGACAGGTGTGTCTGTGCAGCTCTCAGCCCTCACCTTGAGGACGGTGATGTTCCAGGCAAAACTCTCCAGCGCCTTCTGCAGTTTGCGGCCCCGCAGCCCCTCCTTGGTCTCGATGCGGTGCAGCTCCTTGTGGAAATCCATCCCTGTGCAGGTGGGAGTGGTGCTCAGTAAGTGCAGGGATGCTGGCATGGGGATGGCCACCACCAGTGGGGACCAAGCCAGAGGGACGCCCTTTGCCCACCGTGGGGGTGCAGGCTGGGTGGGTCCCCCACTGCCTCAGCAGCCCCAAAATCCTTCTGTGCCAGGTACGATGAGCCAGCAGAGCCCCGAGCACACTGGCACCCTGCTTGGCCCCAGCCCGTGGTGGTTTTGGGCCCTGGGCAGAGGCACAGCTCTTGCACCCCATGGGTCACCCAGGGGGGCTCAGAGCAGGCCCACGAGGCTCCCCTATTGGAGTGTGGGCCCCAGCACTGTGCACCACGTGACGTCCTCGTGAGCGGGTGCTATATTTACCCCTCCTGACGCAGCACCAGCTCCAGGCCCACTCGAGGGCTCCCACGCAGCCTGCTCGCCCACATGCTGCCAATCAGACGCCCCCAGCCCCGCACCCCCACTGCAGCCGCACCTCCCCAGACCCCCCAACACCCACCGTCTGGGTACTGGCCATGCCAGCACCACAGGGGCTTGTCCCCAGCGCAGCCTAGGCGAAAGCAGGGACAGACAGCACCAGGGCATGGGGGTGGGGGCTGCAGCCCCAAAACCGCTGCTTGCCACCACCCTGAGAGGCCACACATCCCAGGACCCTCTGCCCTGCAACACCCCAGCACAGCAACTGGAGCAGTAGAGGAGGGCATAGAGCCTGTGCTCCGCAGCCCATGCCCCACTGCTCCACTCCCTCAGCGCTGGCAGTGGTGCCGGAGCCGAAAGCCAAGAGCTCGGGGAGGTTTCCGTCTGCCGCGTAGGCAGGGAACAAACAGGGCTGCTGGCAGCATGGTTGGCATGAGGGGATGGCAGAGCGGGGCCCCCTTCTTCCTCCCCTGTCCCTCCAGCTCCTGAGGCTCTCCCAGCCCCATGGGGAGCCCACACGAGCCCCTGGGCCATCAGCCCCCTATGTATTTGGGACTGGCGGAACTATCCCTGCAGGTCCCAGCCCACAGAGGGGCCACGAAGCCATCAGCCTGGAGCGAAGCTGGGGGTCCCAGCCAGCTGCTGTGGTGGGGGCAGCTGGGGGGAGGAGTGGGGCAGGCAGCAGCAGCACCTGCCTGTGTGGGTTCTGCCATGTGTCTGGGAAGTCGTAACACTCAGTTGCCACTTCTACCGTCAGCCCCAGCCTGTTATTTCTGGCACTAATTATGTTCTGGCATTTGGCAGCTAATGACTCTTCCCCGCTTCCTCATCAGCCTCCCCCGCTCTGCTTGTTCCCTCCCACACAGCCCTGCAGCCCACCCACCCACACCCTGTCCCGGCGCAGGAGGGCTCACACCCCAGCCCCCCAGGATGTGCCCAGGTTTGTGGCCAGAGCCACACCGGGGCTGGGGCTGCCCTCAGGGACCCACCTGCCTGCTGTGCCTGGATGAGCTTCCCGTACACCACGTCGGCAGACTCGATCAGCGTCCGGCTGGTCTGGATCATCTGGGGAGAGGGGCAGCATGAGGAGCTGAGCAGCCCCTGCCCCGCACCCCCCCGGCCGAGTGGATGGGGAGATGGGGCTTGTCAGGGGTCTTGTCAGCATCTGGCTGGTGGCCAGGTTCTCTCCAATACAAAGGAAGGAAGCGGCTCTGGCTGCGGCTATTAATGGGATTTCTTCCACCTGGCAGGACGAGGGCAAGGGGCAGGCAGTGCAGGCGGAGGGACAGGGGCTGCGGGGTCCCAGGGTCGTACTGACCTGGGCAAGCCTGTGCCTCAGCAAGACTCCTCCCTGGGCAGCCCCTACACAGCCCCCCGCCCACCTCTCCCTGCTGCAAGATGGATGCAGAGAGTTCAGGATCCTCTGTCCTGGGCAGGTCCCGGTGCCACCGACCCCACAGAGCCAAGCCCTGGCAGAATGGCACTTACCGTCTCGTAGGCAGTGAGGACCTTGCGCAGCAGGTCGGGGATGGGGCCCTGGGCCTCCATGGGGGGGTACTGCTCTGCCAGGTTGAGGGTGACGCTGGGTGTGCTGTCGCTGTGCAGCAGCCACGTGGACACTGTCAGGATGCACTGCTTCATGTTGGCGGCGGGTGTCAGCCCACACAGCTCCTTGAAGGACACCAGTGCATTCTGCGGGCAGAGACCGGCGTCAGTGGCTCCCCACCCAGGAACATCCCTGTTTCCCCTGGCTCTCTGCTCCTTGCTCACGTCTCCCCGGAAGAGGAGGACACCCAGGCCCCATCCTCCCCCACAGAAACCAGGTCCCCCAGTGCCTCTGCAGGGTCTGTACCTGCACATTCTCCCGCAGGTCAGTGGCCTCCCGCAGCGGCTGCGTGGCCGTCCGGAAGACCTCGTCGATGGCTTTGATGCCGGTGGCCTTGGTGGAGGTGTACTCCCGCACTCGGCGGCCCCGGCGCCCCGCCAGCCCCCGGCGATGCCCCTTGCCCCCGCCACGGCGGTCAGTGATGGCCACATGCACGAAGAGGGTGGCGTGGGGCAGGGGCTCCCCAGCCAGCGACTGGAGGGGGACGTGGCGGTAGCCGGGCTGCAGGCACTCAAAGGGAATGGTGTACTGGGCAATGAACTCATCCCCAATGTAGTCATCGTCCAGCACGACAAAGCGCAGGACGGCCAGCTCGGGCAGGTTGATCTGGAACTCCAGGCTCTCATCAAAGATGGGGTTGTCCCCGCTCTGCAGGGCTGTCTTGGTGCGGTGCTCAGCACAGTCAGCTGGGATGCCATGGATTTCGGCACAGACGTAGGGCTCCACCACCTCCCCTTTGGCCCCTGAGCCCTTGGGCTTGGGCAGGTTCTGCCCACTGATGACCTTGAGGTGCAGGAGCTGGGCGGGCACCCCGGGCAGGGAGTCCTTGGCATTGGCACTGAAGTAGGAGACCTCCTCCCGCATGATGGCTGGGCGGAGGACATAGCCACAGGCCCCGTTCTGCCGGAACCAGCCCGCGTTCAGGTCCATCATGAGCCCCGGTGTCTGGTAGTTCATAGCCACCATCTGGCAGCCACACTTCCAGAAGTCCTGGGGGTTCATGTTGCTGGCGTCGATGCGCATGGGGCTGGGGTAGACGCGGGAGAGGAACCGCTTGTTGTAGCTGACCAGCTCAGCCGGGCACTCGTTGGCAAAGCGTCCTGCTTCCACCTCACTGAAGGAGCACATCTCCCAGTAGCGCTGCCCACGCCGTGAGCTCTCGAAGTCCTGGAAGGGGACAGCCTGGCAGAGGCTCACCAGCTCTGAGAGCTCCCGGCTGAGGCGCACCCGCCGCGGGCCACCTCCCTCCGGTGCCTCCCGGTCCTCCTGGCCCAGCCGCCGTGCCAGCTCCCAGCCTTCCTCCTCATCCGACACCTCCCCCTCGCTGTCCTCACAGCTGGGTGGCAGCTTCTTGCCCTTGATGAGGATGCGGCCCTTGAGCTGCTCTGGGGAGGGCAGGTAGGACGCCACTGGGTTGGGGGGCTCCAGATACAGCTTGTCCCCCAGTGTCTTGCGCAGGCACTGGGCAGCGAGGCGCTGCTGGGGGGCCGAGCAGCGCACCACCAGGCAGAGGATGAGGGGGTAGGCGGAGGCGGTGAAGGCGTGTTGGTCGATCAGCCCCACCACGGCACGGAAGGGCACGCAGGAGGCAGCTGAGGGGCTGGTGTAGACCACAGGCTCGCCCTCGGGGCCATCCCACAGCACCAGTTCGATGCTGCGGCAGCCCAGGCCCAGGGCACTGATGTAGCCACTGATGTCCGAGCGGCCCCAGAAGTTGTCCTCCAGCAGGCAGGCGCTGTGGGCAGAGCTGATGTAGTAGTGGGAGAGGGGCTGTGCCATGTCCTGGCAGACCTTGCGGTGCTGCGGGTCGAAGATGGAGCAGTCAGCAGAGAGCAGGTAGCGCGTGAAGCCATCGATGGCCAGGTAGCCCTTCTCCCGGCCCTCCTTGGAGGGCTCATACTTGCCGACGATCTCCAAGCACTTCTCTTCTGTGACCCCCTCCATGCCCTGCTCCACCTCCAGGAACATCAGCAGGTCCTTCACACCCAGGTATTCCTTGTTGCTGGAGAACTGGACCAGCAGGAAGAAAATCTCAGGGCGGGTGCAGAGCTCACAGTACGCCTCCACGAAGAGGTCGCAGGCCACCTCTGCACCAGGACGCTCACTGGCCTTCTGCAGCTCCTTGAATTTCAGCTCAATGGTGGAGGTCTTCATGCCAGGGTTGAGCGCTTTGATCAGCTGCACAGCCCGGGACACAGGGATGCGACCAGACTTATCCAGGTCAGCGAGGTCAAAGACAGAGGAGATCCAGGAGGTCCGGAGGCTGGGGTGGCCGGTCCCAGGCGCCTCGGGGCTGTGTTTCCCATAGGACACCAGGTACCGCAGCCCCATCACCCAGGCGCTCACCACGTCGGCTGAACTGGCCACCAGGTCCAGGGACTCGTAGTTGTCTCCATAGATGATGGAGAAGGCACACTCATCCGGGAACTGGTCAGAGAGGCCATTGCTGCGCAGGACAGGTGTCTTCTTGCCTACACGCACCTCTTTGACAGACTTGATCTCAATCTTGGCCTTCTCTGAGTCCTTCTTGGATGGCTCCCAGCGCACGGAGCGCATGTCAGCGTCCAGCACGAAGAAGCGGCTGTACATGCGGGAGTTGGAGCGCACCTTCTTCAGCTCACAGCCCTCCAGCATGAGGGAGATGCAGGCGGCCGTGCTGTTGATCTTGCGGTCATTGGGCATGGAGCTGAAGGACACCGTCTTTTTCTTGTGTGGCAGCCGCTGCCGGGAGCCATCCTACCAGGGTGGGAAAGGGACAGAGCTGTCAGGGACGAGCAGGCAGCACGTGCCCCTCCAGGTCCTGCCTCAGGGTCCCCCTGCCCCAGCCCAAAGCGAAGTGCAGCACCCCAGGGTGCCCCAGGGTGTCCCAGTGCCACACGAAGCCCAGTCCAACCCGGTCCACCCCTCTCCTGGGGGCTGGGAGCTGGCTCCAGCCCTGGCCTCCCCCACGGCTCGCTGCCTGGCTTAATTTAACTCTGCTTTCCTTCCTTCCTTCCTGCTCCCGGCCCTGAGACAGATCCTTCCCCACTGCTCGTTCACCCTCGGAGGTATGGCCACTCAGTGGCAGCCCAGCATGGGGCTGAGGACACTGGCTGGGGACACCAGAATTAAAACCGATGCCTGGCATGTGATGCATGAGCAGAGATGCTCCTGGGGAACCCCAGCCAGACCCTCCAGCCTTCTGCTAGGAGAGGGGCAGGACAGCCCCTGCCAGTGCCATGTGCTAGGGATGAGCACGGCCATGGTCCCGTCCTGCAGAGTCAGGGGTCACGGGGGTATGGGCTGTTCACTGCCAGCACCCCATGCCTGCACTCTGTCCTGCCCCACGGTGAGGAAGGTGGACCCTGCTGTCACGGGGCTGGGAGGGGCAGGAGATGAGGGGGAACAGCAGGGCCAGGAGCGTATTATGGGATGGATTTCATTAAGTAGCGCAGTAGGAGGAGATTTAATCCACTTCTTCAAGATTATGGTTGAGTCACCTCTAATCTGATGGTGTCTCTGTCAGAGGCAGGTCCTGCCCAGCTGCCCAGGTTGGGGGTGAGGAGGTGTTCCCCTCCAGTGTCCTGAGACCTTCCTCACCTCCTGCGTGGGGCTGTGCCTGGACAAGTGTGTCCCTGTGCCTGACCCAGGGGGCCTGGGATTTGCCCCTTGGGGCCAGGCAGCCCCAGCCAAGGGCAGTCTGGACAGGTCACAGAAACGGGTGGGCGGCTCCCCCAGGGATGCCTGTGACCCCAGGGATGACAGTGGCCCAGGGATGGGGGACCCAGCCCCAGCCCTCATCCCATTGTTAGAGCCAGCTAGATTCTGCTGTCCCAGAGCTCAGATGTGTGAGCTGTTTGCATCCTCTCACTGCCAGATTGCTCCAAGAAGCTGGCTGAGCTCCAGAACCCCTTCTCTGTGCCAGGCAGCCTGGGTCGGCAAGGGCTCAGCGGCAGGTCACGCCATCGGACAGCCCTGTGGCGAAGGACTCGGCACCGGATGCCTCCTGCAAGCTGCAATCTGAGCGCTCCACTGAGGAGCAGCCCCAGCCCTCGCCCTGCCGGGGGGCGATGGGCACCGAGGGCAGCACCTCCTGCCCCGAGCAGGATGCCCGCACCTCTGCGGACCCGCTCCCCGCCCGGCGCACCCACCCAGCGCGGCTCCGCACTGGGCCCCACAGCCGAAAACAGGAAATCCATCCGGAAAGGAAACACGGGCGGGGGGCCTGCGTGCACCCAGCGCCAAGGACCTGCTTCCAGCTGTGCCCACTGAAGGCAGCCAGACACACCCGACCTCACCAGCCCTGCTGGTACCCCAGCCACCCTGGCTCAGCACAAAAGCCCAAATGCCTTCCCTGCAGCCCCTCATGCCCCCAGGTTTGGGAAGGGGAGAGAGTCCCCTTTGCAGCACTTTGGGGTGCAGATATGTGGCACAGACCCAAGAGTGCCCTGCAGCACATGGGCTCTGCTCTCCCTATGCATGGGCCAGCAGCAAGTGGTGGGCACTGGGTGCAAGGGGTCCCCTGCCCGAAGCTCCTCACTCCTGGAGACCAGCAGGGAAGAGCCACTGCTCCCTGGTAGCCCCTTCATAGGCTGTTCCAGGTGGTCTTCAACCCTGGGGACACCCCACGAGGAGCTGGACAAGGCACGGGCAGGAGCAGCAGAGGCAGGTGACAAGTGGGGCAGCAGCAGAGCCAGAAGGATGTGACTCCCATGGCCACTGAAGCACAGGGCATCCCCAGACAGAGGGCAGGGCTCTGGCCAGAGCAGTGATCCTGGTCACTGTGCCACCAAGCTGGCAGAGAGAGCAGGCAGGGTTCTGTAGAGGGAAGTACCAACCATGATGCTGATGCCACCCAGGATGCCACTGGTGGGCATGGAGGGCACGTCCCAGTTGCTCATGCCCTGCCCAACTCTGCAGCGTGTGCTAAGCACCTCTTCAGCCAATTACCTCCTGTATTAGTGCCCTGGAGAGTGCCGCTGCCCTAATCTCAGCCTCCACGTGACGGCCACCACTACCGGCCACACAACCTGCTCCCAAGCGCAGGATGAAGAAGGGCCCATCATTTGTCCCTCCCTTCCCCATATCCCCCAGCCTGGCCATGACAGGACTCATCTGCAGCTGATTTCCCCAGGTTCTGGGGCTGGGCAGCACTGGCAGGGATGCAGGCAGGGTGCAAGCAGGCAGCAACCCCAGAGCGGAGGCAGTAGGAGACACCATCAAGGCTTTTCTACCATCATTTGTTCCCTGCCAAGAAGAGAGCGACTGACACATCCACTCCCCGCAGCACCAGCTGCCGCTCCCCAGCGAGGGGCCATGGAGCCAGATCCCAGTGGAGGCACCACGCAGCTCCTGGGACTGGCATGGGATGGGGAGGGGACACAAGAGATGGGACAGTGAGCCGCTCGGGTAAGGCCACCTCCTGCAGCAGGAAAGAATAGATCCAGTACCGCCAAGTCCCTCTCCAGCATCCTCCCAGCCCACCGGACCTCCAGACCCCTCTGCTTCTAGCCTGAGAAGAGAGAAGGGAGGAGATCCTGTAGCCAGAGCACAGGAACACTGCAGGGGCCAGCTCTGGATCCCGCTGCTCCAGTCCCCCCCAGCTCCACACAGCCAGTGAGTCGCTCTTTCAGATTCACTCCTTCAGCCTTTTCTGGAAATCCCAAAAAATAACAGAGCTGGCAGCTCTTCCCACACGTGCCTCCACTGCCACTCAGGCCCCGGATGGACTCGGGGATGCACGACGGATCAACACAAGATGGGGACACTGTCCGGGTCTGACCCCCTCCCGGGTCAGCTCCCTCCCCCGCCTGCGCTGGCCCTGGGCCACCCGACCTTCACGTGAGGCCAAATCCCGCGGTGACGCAGGTGGTGACGGGGATGTGCCCAGCCCGGGGGCAAGCGGGAGGTTCACCACCCCAAGCCCGCAGTGCCTGCCCGCGGCTGGTCCCCCGGGCAGGGAGGGATGCTGGCCCGTCCCGGGAGCAGCAGGAGACCCCGGCGAGGTCCCCAAGGAAACCGGGCACTGACAGCGCACCGGCACCAGCCTCTGGCTGCACGGGAGGTCTCCGCGCCGTCACCGCGTGGGCACAGCCCGGCCGCCCCCGCAACAGTTTGTAGCGGGAGCCCGGGAGGGCGCGGGCAGGGCTCAGTGTCCCGACGCCGCTGCCCAGAGAACCAGGTCCCGGGGGCAGAAGAGCGAGGCTGGGGCACCACGGGAACAGCCCCCACATGGGGTATTAATAGCATCGGAGCAATCCCAGCTTAAAATAGGCTGCCGGGAGCGGGGAGGCAAGTCCCGGGCGGACGTGACCCATTGTGTCAGCTAGCACCTCCAGCATCAGTACAATCAAGGGAGTTCATTTAGGAAAGCACATGTGTGATCCACTGCCCACCCAAGTGGGAGACCCCCGAGACACTGCCTGACTCCCTGCCCCACCACGGCCCGGCTCCGGGAGGTGACAGGAGCAGGCTGGGAGCTGGCCAGGCCGGGCCGAAGGCTCAGCGCTTGGCAGCAGAGAGCACGGGAGAGCAGAAGCTGTTTGAGGGGCAGGAGCGGGCCCCTTCTCACTGGCACCTAATGGTGCCCTGAGCAAGGACCGGGTGATGCTGCAGCGGGATCGTGCAGGGGACCCGCGGCACTGGACGGGGCGACCCAGGGACACTCCACAGAGCCGGGCCGGAACAGGCTGTGCCCTTGGGAACCACGGGGCCGGGCAGGGCGAGGGGACGTCGTGCCAGTCCCGGAGTGACCGGCGCCGCGGGCAGGTGGCGAACCCCGGGCACCGATCGGGGGTACGGCTGCTCCGCGGCTCCGCGGAGCCGCCCCACGGGCCCAGGGAGAGCGGGGGGCAGCGGGCAGGGCCGGTGCGGGGGGACGCAGGGCTCGGCAGGGGGACACGGCTCTGCCCTCCCAGCGCTGCGCAGGTGCCGGTCCCAGGGCGCGGGGGAGCCGGGCCGGTGCGTGGCTCTCACCTTCATGATGCTGGCCCGGGGCGCGGTGGGCGCGGGGCTTCGTTCCGCCGAGTCCTCGCGGCTGCTGCTGCCCGAGCCCGAGCCGGGGCTGCCGCCGCCGCCGCCGCCGCCGCGGGGCCCGTTGGGCAGCGGCGCGGCGGGGCGGGGCGAGCCCGGCGGCTGGGCGCCCCGGGGCTCCTCTGCCATCCCCCGCGGCCTCAGGGCAGCGGCCGCCGCGGGGCCCCGGGGCGCCCAGAGCCTGCGCCCGCCGCCGCCGCCGCTGCGGGCTCAGTGGCGGAGCGGGCGGGAGGCGGTGCGGCCGGGAGGAGGGGACGGGCCGGGCCGGGGGCGGGGACGCGACGAGGATGGGGACGGGGACGGCGCGGCCCCCCCGCCCCGGGCTGCAGCGGCGGGGCTCGGGGACGGGCACCGGAACCTCCCACCGCCGGGGCATCCCCGGCCTCCGCCCAGCCCCGCAGCGCCCCGGCCCAGCAGCCGCCCCATCTCGGGGGGACCCCGGCTGAGCCCGGGCAGCCGGGCAGCTGGCACCTGCAACCTGCAGCCAGGCACCCAAACCCAGCCTGGCACCCTGCAGCTATGCACCTGCACCCTGCAGCCTTAGTAACAGCAGCCCAAACAAACCTGCACCCAAAACAAGCTGTACCCTGCAGCCGGGCACTGAAAATCGACCTTGCACCCTGCAGCCTGGCACCCACACCCAGGTGGGCACCTTACAGCCTGGCCCTGCCCAGCACAGTCCCCCCCACCAGCCTGCACCCCCACTAGCGTCGGTGTCCCGGCAGGGCAGTGCAAGCAGAGCCAGCCAGTGCAGCCCTGGCCACACACGGCTCTCCCAGGCAGGGGTCTCCAGGCTTTTGCTGCAGGGAGCCACCCCCAGCCCAAGGCAATGCTTCTCCTCGACTTGCAGAAGAAATTTTGCTCCAATTTTTTCCAGCAGGGAGGGTGTAAGGGGCCCCAACCCCGTTATCCCTGGCGGGGGTCTCAGCTGTGCCGGGGGATGCTTTGCTTTGTGTAAACCTTGTCCAAGACATCATCCCCTGCCCGCGGCCCAGCAGTCGCCCGGCAGCAGCTGCAGCACAGCAGGTGCCCCACATGCCCTCATCAGCCCTTAAAATAACCCATAACGAACGGGTGGGGAAAGGACCAGTCCCTCCCGATGATACACGTGTGCCTCAAAGGCACAAAGAACCCGGAGCCTCCAGAGCCCAGCCAGCCGCTGAGCCGGTTAAATATTCATGGCTGCCCCTTCCCCAGGACCCCCAAGAATGGCAGTGACTCCTCAGTCCCCAGAGCAGTCAGATTGCTCGAGCAATCTCTTTAATGAGGATTAAAAATAATAGTATAAAAAATGAATCCCAGAGCACGGCCCTTTATTTATTTTTTAAGAGATAATCCTCCTTTACTTTGCTTCTGGTTTTAAAACATTAAAAGCATCCCTCGCTGGAGCTTATTCTTTCCTAAACCAGTGGATGTGCACTAGAGCCTGGCTGGGGCTGCTTCATGGCACCTGCCACCACCAGCCACCTGTGCCTTGCCCAGTGTCCCTGCCAGGGGACAAAATGCCACAGGGCCCCAACACTCAGTGCGGTGATGAGCCAAGGCTCTGCTGCTCCTCCTGCTCCTGCAGAGATTTCCATTGTGCCCTCTGCCTTGGACAGGGCTGTGACAGCTAAGGTGTCCCTCAGGACAAGGAAAGGCACAGGCACCCATTTCACTGTGGCTGCAGGCACTCCAAGGCACTGAGTGAGCAGATCCAGTGGCTGCAGGACCCCACTGCCCCATGACACTCCCAAGTGTCCACTCCATCCCCGCAGCAGCACTGAGCAGGGAGCAGAGGCTTGGTCAAGCTCACTGTCCCCATCCACTCTGCTCAGCCAAACCCCTGGAGCTGGGCACCCTCACCCCCACACCCCCAGCACCGGGGACACGGTCCCACTCCCTCTTGGAGAGTGCACACCAAGCGAACCCCAGGGTGAGTGGGCTGTGGAACCCCTGGGCTGCCCTAGGAGATGACAGAGCCCTGAATGAGCTGCAGCAGCCGCTCCTCCCGCAGGACCCTGGGCATGGGCACAGGGGAGCCCAGTGCCTCCCGCAGTCGGGTGAAGGCTCCAGCCCTCACCAGGTGCAGGCGCAGGGGCCCAATGCTGCCCTTGAAGCGGAAGGACTTGTAGACAAGGAAATCCTCTTGGAGACACTGGTCCAGCTGCAAAGAGAGGGCAGCTGCCTGTGCTGGTCCCACACCATTGTCCCGGTGCCCCTCAACTACCCCCCCCAGAGGCTGCCAGGCCACCCCAGAGCAGAGCCCACGTTCCCCTCACCTTGTAGCGCTGCCCCTCTGACAGGTCCCGCAGGCCCTGCAGCTCCACGAACACCTCGTAGTGGGGGGCGCAGGGCCCCGAAGAGTCGCCTGGAGCAGCACCATGAGCACGTTTAGAGCTGCCCACAGCCCTCAGCCCAGCTGGGCCCCGGAGGGTCGGCAGAGCCCTGGGCAGTGCCAGCCATGCTTTTAGGGGGACTCGAGCAGCTCAGGGGGACTCACCCAGCAGGCTACTCTCCACACAGACATAGTCAATCAGGCGAGCACCCGGCCACATGCCCAAGCCACGGCACAGGGTCTGGCAGAACCGCTCCTCAGGTATGTTCTCACCCCGCACACTCAGTGTCTGGCTCTCCCTGTGGCGCACGGGGCTGGGGTGAGTCACTGCCACCCTCTGCCACTGCCACTGCCACAGACCCTGCCTGCTACAGGGCCCCCTCACAGCTCCCCAAGATGAGGGGCAGGGGTTGGGGTATCCTCACCTCCGCACAGGTTCCACCACAGGACACTGCTTGTGGAAGCCAGCCACCCTCAGCACCTCCCCAGCACAGCACCTGTGTGGGCAGAGGAGTGTGAGGGAGAGCTGGGTGTGTGGGGCTGGAGTGAGTGATCCCCCAGGACCACACAGCAGGGAGGAAGCACCTGTACTCTCCTGGCTGGGCTGTCACAACCAGCCCATACTCTCGTCCCTCCCAGAGCTCATCCAACAGTATCGTCCGTGGTTCCTCCTCTGCAGGGCAGGGCAGGAACTCGAAGAAAGCCCAGTCAGGGCACAGCAGGAATTGGGGCACTGGCTCTTCCGGCCACAGGTTCACACCAAGCAGGGCTGGGCAGAGTCAGTGTGTGTCAGTGTGAGCCCTCAGACCCTCTGTCCTTGCCCACACAGCATCACCTGGTCCAAGGGGGAATTTTTTGCTGGTGCCAGCACAGCACTGGTTTTGGGGAGCAGGAAGGGGATGTAGTACAGAGATGCACCGGTGTCTGCTGGAGCAGGGGGATCTGTGCTGCCATACAGCAGCGGTTCCCTGCATGCACCTGGGGCAGACTGTGGGGACACCCTGGCATGGGGGACACTTACCTCCCACTGCCTGGTAGAAGGGGTAGTAGATGGGCAGCCCCTGGCAGTCAGCCTGGAGGAGGGCGTCGCAGTAGAGTCGCTCTGTGCTGTGTGCTGACCCCACCACCACCACCTCCAGCTGCGGCCACAGGCGCCGCACGATGCCCTCGAAGCCACGGGCACACTCAGCGCGGAGCTCAGCCGCCCGGGCAGGGTCGGGGGTCAGCAGTGCCTGCAGCTGGCTCCGCACCTCCTCAGGCAGCCCGGGCTGGGGGCTCAGCCTGCCCAGTGCCAGCTCCTGGGCCAGCCGGGGCCACTCATCGTGCAGGGCTGCCAGCGCGTCGCGCAGCTCGGCTGCCAGCCCGGCCTCCAGAACGTGCAGCCCCCGCTGCCGCAGGGCGAAAAGCAGCTGCACTCGCAGGGCGGTAGCCCGCGAGGGCAGGGCACTTGCCGGGGTAGGGGTGCAGTACAGGGTGGGCAGCGGCCACCCCGCCGGGGTGCGGGGGCAGCCGGGAGTCCAGTGCAGCAAGGCCGTGCCCCGGCAGGTCAGCGCCCGCGGGAAAGCGGCACCGAGGGCATCCAGGTAGAGCACGGACCCCTGCGGGGGAGGATGGGGTCAAGAGGGCAGACTCCGCGGGGGTCAGACCCCACGAGGGTCCGCGCCCACCCCACCCGCTGCCCCCCGTACCTGCAGCGCGGGGTCGGTGTCCCAGCAGCTCCGGAGCAGAGCCCAGGGGAGCAGCGGGGAAACCGGATCCGTCGGCGCTCCGTCCCGGCAGCGCTGCCCCAGGGGATGCCGCTCCCGTAACTCCTCGGAGCCTGCCGGGAGAGACACGAGGTGAGGGGGGCAACTCCGGGACCTCCCCCCATCCAGCCCCCCGCGCCGCCGCCCCGCGCTCACCGCCGGCCGGGCCGGTGCCGGGGCCGGTGCCCAGCAACCGCCGCAGCCGCCGCTCCTGGCTCAGCCGCACGTCGGTGCTCAGCGCCTCCAGCCGCCGCCGGTACCGGCCCCCGGCACAGCGCAGCGCGGAGCGAACCAGGCGGTGCCGCAGCGCGGGGACAGCCACGGCCACGGCCACGGCCACGGCCACCGCCGCCGCCACCGCCAGCGCCGGCAGCATCCCGGGTAGCGACCGCCGCCCCCGAGCAGGGACCTGGCCCCGGACTTTCCTCGCCCCCCGGCTATTCCGCCTCCGGCAGGAATGACGGAGAATTACCGCGCCCGGCACCGCCCCCCCCGCCCTCCCCCGCTCTACTTTTATTTTCATTTTCAACTTTCCACAGCACCCCCGGAGACCCCCGCCCGGCAGGCCGAACCAGGACCCCCTGCTCCCCCATTAAGAGGAAGTTCCTTCTTGGGAAAAACCGGGCAATCGGTCCGGTTTGCTTCACTTTTTGCCTGCAAAAATGGCTCCAGCCCCATCCCCATCCCATCCGCTGCTCTCTAGGGCAGAGCCCTCTGGATCCGTCCTGCATGTGCCAGGGGAGGCCCGATCCCCCTGCCCTCAGAGACGGGGACCTCAAACGCTGGGCCTGGCCCCAGCATCCATCCGGTACACCAGCTGGAAATGGAGAGCATGCAGCCCCCTGGAGGGACCTGCCTCTGCCCGAAGACACACTTGGAACCCAGAGCTTTTGTGTTATAAAAATATTCCGTGCTTTATTTACTCTGTGGTAGAAAAATAACATGGCCAGGACCCCAGAGCTTCCTGCCCCGGCAAGGGGAGAGGTGGGGGGCAGAGGGCTCTGCTCCCCCAAACCCCCTGCCCACCCGACTGCCCTCTTGCACCCTGCCACCCTCGTGCTGCAGCAGCTCTGGAGGGGACACTGAGGCCGGAGGGGCTCCTGCATCCTTGGGGGCCAGAGGAGGAGATGAGGTTGGGGAGGGGACCCTGCCACTGTGGAGCAGAGTGCAGCACCGGCGAGGGGGAGCCCCGGCCAAACCCCTGCTCCACTCCATGCCCCCAACACACCCCTGGGAACAGAGCCGCGGGGGAGAACAAGAAGGCGACACGTACATTCTTAGTGACGACTGCGAAAGCAAACCTGAGGCCGGGCTCCCAGCCCCTGCCCCAGCAGCCCCGCGGGGGGAGCAGGGGGCTGCGGGGCCGGTGCTGGCGGAAGCGGAAAGCCGAAGCTGGGCCTCTTAAAAGGAACATACAGGAAAACCATGCGACAAATCCGCTGCCGTTTATACAAGGGCATAAACACCAAAGAGCCGGACGCCAGCCTGTGTTTCAGGGCAGCACGGAGCAAATCCTGGGGGCAGAGCCCACCCGCCGCCCCCCCAGCACAGAGACACAAACACAGCACAGTCCCCGCAGCGCCAGGGCCAGTGGCGAGGGACCAGGTGCCTGCCCGTCACGACTGGGCGTGAGGGATCCACTGACTGTCCACGGGGCGCCGCAGCAGCTCCTCCACGTGCCTTGCCACATCCATCGTGTCATCCAGGTCGAAATCACCCTCAGGGTCCAGCACGGGGTCGGGGCTGCAAGAGGCAGGGGGTGAGGAGGGGACCGGCTGCAGCAGGATGGGGGCAGGGGATGTGATACCTACTTCTGGGTGTACATGTTGTAATGGGGCTGGGAGCAGACGGCAGGCGAGGGCGCCTGGTCCATGTAGGTGGCCCCTCCAGGGGCAGAATCGCTTGATGGATTGACAAACCTGTGGGGACAGGTCTCATGAGTGCTGGCACAGGACAGGATGGGCACCCCGGGGGTGAAGTCACGCTCTGGAAACTTTCACCCCCTCTGAACAGCGTCTCCCAAGGCTCAGCACCGATGTGGCCATTGGCAGCTGAGCTCCACAGTGCCCTGGGCTGCTGGTCACCCCTGCCAGCTCGACAGGGGAAATCCCATGGGACCCACTGCCCAGGGTTTGCCTTTGGTGTCACACTTACTCTGGCACCACTTGCTTGATCTGTGGCTTCACGTATCCATCCACGGCTTTAGCTAGAGGGAAGGAGACAGCGCTGAGGCCCCAGGATCCTGCTCATGCTGTGAACCTGTGGCAGTGCTGGGGGCTTCAGCTGCAGAGCCCCTGTGGGGCCAGTGCAAGCCCCAGGGTGGGGGATGCTGTGAGCCCCAGCTCCACGCCAGCTGGATGCACAAAGGAGGGGACACACATGGGGTGAAGGGACAGCGCTACCTGGCGTGGACTCACAGAGAACCGGCGTGTAGTACTTGGAGAACACCTCATCCTTGGGCCGGTCGGGGAACACGTAAATAAGGTAACTGAGGTCCCCAAGGCGGTCGGCCAGGGAGCGGATGGAGAAGTCCCTGGTGGTGAAAGGCATCAGGTTCCAGAACATCCTCTCAGCTGCAAGACAAGAATGAGGACCACGGTGATGTCCAGAGCCAGTGGTGGCTCCTGGCCCTGCTCTGGACACAGGCTGTGAGGTCACATTGAGGAGCAAACAGCATGTCCCACGCTGCATCCCTCCCCTGGCGACAGCTGAGGACAAAGCACGTGTCGCCAGAAAATGGGATAAGGCAGGAGGCACAGTGAACCCAAGGCAGGTCTGGCCTCATCCAGACACACAGGGGGTGAGTTTGAGTTCCCTGGCCACAGGGGCTCTGTGGGGTTCTGCCGTGCTCCTCAGCCACACGACCCTCCGAAGGACACTCTCATGAGAACAGCAACAAGCAGACTCCTGCACGGGGTCAGGCCACCCCTTCAAACCCCTGCACTGGGGAGCACCACAGTGTCACTGCATTTCGTAAAGCCCACATCAGTCCCCAGGGCTGGGTTGGAGGGTTCAGCCCAGTCACTCCCTGCTCTCGCCAGTGCTTGGGCCCAGTATTGCCATGGGTGCAGTGAGTGAGGGCAGCGCTGCTCCCCACAGGGCAGCTGAGGAATCCCGTGGGCTCTTGCATTCACCCCTTTCCCAAGGAAGGCTCTAGCGTGCCTGCCATGGCACTGCCAGTACCCCATGAGCATGAGACAGCCAAGCACAAGGTGGGGGCCAGGGACACTGTCTGGGGGTGCCAGCACCCGGCACACACTCACAGGAATCAAACTTCCAGGCGATGGTGATGCCACCAATCTCTGAGTCGCTGAAGCGCAGGAGGAAAGTCCCGTCGGGCTTGTTGATGAGCAGGTCGTGTGCCTGCTGCTTGTTGACGAAGCCCAGGATGGCCCTAGGCAGAGCAGGGCGTCAGGGCAGGGGGCTTGGCCTGGGCAGCACGGGGCAGGGCGGCTCTTACCCGTCATTCCAGTGCGGCTTCAGATGCTTCTTCAGCACCTCCATGACCCCGTCAAACCACTGCCAGAAGGTGTAATTCCTCCCAGGCAGGTTTTCCTGTTGAAATCCCCAGAAAATGAGCACCCTGCCACCAGCCTCGGAGCCGCTGTTACACAATAAAGCCATTGGATGCAGCAGCAAAGACTCAAGGACCTGGACTGTGGGACTCCCAGGTGGACATGCCCCATACAGCCCTCCAGCACAAGCACTGGGGGCACTCCACAGCTCTCCCGCACAGACTCCAGGCTGCTCACCCGGTTGAACTGGGACCAGGACACCGTGGTGCTGCTGTAGTCCTCCAGGTGGGAGCTGGTGCTGTTGAACAGCTTCTGTGCCAGGAACACCAGGTTCTCCTTGGTCAGCCCACGGCTGCTCTGCACCTCCGCCTTGAACTTCATGTTGAGCGCCTCGCAGAGCTGCGGCCACTGCACCTTGTCGGGCACGGCGAAGGGCACGCGGCCCTGGGGGCAGAGAGAGAGGTCAGCACCAAGGTCTGCCTGCTGCCCCTGGGCACGTCCCACCAGAAGGCTGAGCCCGACTCCTGGAGCCCCCCAGGAGGCTGAGCCCAACTCCCACAGCCCCCTGGGGCGAACAGGGCCTGTCCTGCCCCCCATGGCACTGGCACTCACAGGCTCGGCAAAGGCATTGTCCCAGAGCACAGTGGCCGTGGCATTGTTGTCCTGGCTCCCGTGCACGATCACTACCACAGGCAGGGACAGCGTCTGCCAGGAGGAAGGAGACCAGAATGGGTTGTGGGGCACCACAGGAGCATCGCCTGTGGCCACCCTATGGCCTCAGCCCAGCCCCACACTGTGGGCATGGTGTCCGTGGCTCACCAAGGGCCTACAGAGGGAACATGGCTGGTGGCTTTACCTTCACCTGGAAGACCAGCTCATTGCCACCAACACTGAACTGCGACTCAAAGAGGATGGTGAACTTCTCTTCCGTCACTGACTCGGCCCCACGGCGATCCGAGCGCTTGATTCGCTTCAGGGACTGCAGGGACATGAGAGGTGAGCACAGGGGAACAGATGGGGACACCAGGGTGAACACAGGGGGACATGAGGGCACACGAGGGGAGGCAGGGGCACTCACCATGTTACGAAAGTGGGCACTGAGTGTTCCAGTGGCCTGGTGATACTCCATCACACAGCAGTTGTTAAGGATCTCCCCACTGCTCTCGCTGCCACCAGAATGCAGGGGTCAGGGGACCACCAGGGCCGGGAGCCATCTGAGGTGCAGGCCCCCCCCTGCCGTGCTCCCCACTGCCTTGGCAGCCCCAGCCCCCCACTACACCCCCCCAGCCCCCGGCATTACTTGCGGGTGCTCTCGTTCTTCAGCAGGGCCTTGGCTTGCTGCTCACTGATGATGGTGGCCTTTACCTGGGGGGGGTTCATGTGCACGTTCAGCTTCCCCCCCACCAGGAGCCGCACAGTGGCTGCGAACTTGGTCTGTGTCTTCAGCACCTGGGGGGGCTGCTTCTCGATGATGAAGGTGCTGGAGGGGCAGGAGGATCAGGGGGGGTGGGCAGAGCAGGGCCAACCCCACCCACTACCGCAGTCCACCCAGACCCCACCAGTACCTGGTGACCAGGGCAGAGATGATGTCGGTGATGGTGCCGTTCAGCTCTGACAGCATCTCCTCCACTGGGCCTGGGATTGGCAGCTGCTGGCACAGGTGCTCAGCCCGGCGGATCTGCTGCCGGTTCTGCCAGATGATCTCCGCCAGCTTCTCACACCTGAGGGGAGCAGGGCTCAGCACGTGCTGCAGCTCAGCACCCCCTCCCGCCCTGCCCCACCAGGCACCCACCACGTCTGCAGCACATCCAGGGTGCCCTCGGGTGGGCCCCCGTTCCCTGCCAGCTGCTGCCGACGCTTCCACTGGATCAGCTCATCATCCAGGATGGTTGTTTGCTGCTTGCGCAGCAGCTGCAGCGTCTTCTGGTGCTTCTCAGCCAGGTCCTGCAAGGTGGGATGGTGTCATGGGGCACAGGGACAGCATCACAGGAAGCAGAGGACAGCATTACGGGGGACGGGGTGGCATCACTCACCACGCGGTACTGCTGTAGTGTCTGGGCCTCCCGGTGCAGCCAGGCCTCCAGCGACGCCTTCTTCTGTTGCAGTGTCGTCTCCCGTGACATGCGCTCCTGGGGGCCCAGCTGAGAAAGCTGGGAGAACTGGGCTGGGGGACAGGTCACAGCATTAGGGCCAGCCCTGCCAGTGCCCCGGCCCCACACCCCTCAGCCCCCCACCCACCTTGAAGGCGCATGTTCTCCTGGTACTGGATGATGAAGTACTCCTGCGTCTGCTGCAGCTTTTTGAGCTCGTTCTCCGAGTCCTGTGTGATGAGCCGCAGCTCCTCGAAGGTCTGGTTGATCTGCAGGTGCTTCTGGGACATGGCATCCACCAGGGAGCCAGCAGGTGACGGGCTCTGTGCAGGGCACGGGGCATGCTTAGCACTGCAAGGGGACCCTCCCTGTTTCCTTGGGTGCTGGGGGCACCCAGAGCACCCCCTGCCTCAGGGCTGCTCCCCTCATCATGCTGGAGCCCCTGAGCATTCCCCCAACCCTGTGGGACCCTCTCCCTCACCCCTCCCAGCTCCCACTCACATTGTTGGCCTCCCGCACCAGCCGCTGCTCGTGGTAGAGGATGTGCCGGATGCAGCGCACCAGCTCCATGGGGCACCGGTCATACGTGTTCTGTAGGAGAGCACAGCCTCAGCCAGGCACAGGGCAGGGACCCTCCAGTCTCACACTCCCACCTGCGGCCCCCTACTTGCCTGCAGCTGTGTGGCGTAGTGCCCCAGCTTGATCTTCAGCAGGAAGCCATCCTCGCCCACTTGGTGGTCTGCCTTCTTCTGCAACTCCTGGATCAGCCCCTCCAGCAGCTGTGTTGCCTTCACATTCTCCTGGGGGTTGTCAAGGTCGATGGAGTCCCTACACATGGAGCAGAGAGCATCAGGGCAGCCTATTGGTGGGGGGCACCCACTGGCACCCCTGAGGCAGCTGCTGCCAAGCCCAGCACCCCCCTGGGGACAGGACCCCCAGCTTACCATGCCTGGCTCTCAATCCACTGTGACAGGTAGTGCCGCACCTCGATCGGGAAGTGCTGCCCATAGAGTGCCTGCATCTGCCGCAGGGCTTCGCCCTGGAGCTGCTGGGCCTGGATCCACACCGCCATGGCTCAGCACCTGCAGGAGATGGGCTGTCAGGGCACCCGTGGCAGACAGGCAGGCGCTGTGCTGTGCCGAGTCCAGCCCCAGCTGTCCCCACACCCTTTGCAGGAGCTTCCACGTTCTCCTTTGCAGGAGCCTCTGGAGTTTCTGGTGCTGCCAGCGCCGTCTCCAGTGGTTGAAAGAAGGGGTGTGTGGGGGCAGGGGACCCTGGCTCTGAGTCACCCCCTCTTTTCTAGGAAGAACCCTGGGGGTGCCCGGGGCCAGGGACGCGCCTCTGCGCGGCCTCTCCACATGGTTCTCATTTCCCCTCACTGTGCCACGGGATCGCAGCCATCGCTGGCCACGCAAATGAGGAAACGGGGCTGAGGGGAGGGAGGGCTGGCCAGAAATCCAGGGTGACGCAGAGCAGAGGCCCCCCCTGCGCTCGCCCTGCTCCTGCCCACACCCTGGCAGTGCTGATGGGCAGAAGCAGTCCCGGCCCCAAGGGACCACGTGGCACCACAGACCCCGATAGCTCCCTGGTCCCAGGGTCACTGTATGACCTATGTCCTGGTGGACACGCACAAAGCTTCTCAAAGCAGTTTTGGGGCGGCTCTAGCTCCATGCAGGAGCACTGCCAGATTCCACCCACCACTCAGCCTCAGTTCCCATGGGGCAGCCAGGGATGGGACAGTGGAGATAGCACCTCTACTAAAACCTAGTGCATCCCCTGGGCAGTCACACCTGTGGCTGAGTGTTTGAGGGTAGTGCAATGGTGCTCAAGGCCCCCCCAGACGAGGAGGCAGCAGTAAATAGCATTTAGATACACTCACGCCCAAACCGCCTGGGATCTGGCACCACACGGAGGGGCTGGGCAGAGGTGTGAGGCCTCATGCCATGTCCCAAGGCCGAGTGATCATCACAGGACCTGGTCACTGCACTGGCTGGCGACAAGCAGAAGGACCGAGCCGGTGGGGGCTGTGCCTCCCCAGCTCCCCAAAGGACTTTGTTCAGCCTCAGAAATACCCCATGGCCCACGCAGCTCCAGAAAAGCCGGTGCGGTCCCTCAGTCAGGGGCACGTGCTGCGGGACAGAGGCAGCGGGTCCGAGAGGAGCAGCCACGGCTGGAGCCCCTGAGCTCGGCACACCCGCCCCTGAGCAGGAAGAGGAACAATAACCCAGAGCTGGCTAAAAATGAATTTTTCCCCTATAAAATGGGAGGAACATTTCCACATTCACAGAAATCACCAAGCTGGAAATGCTGCTGGCAAGGAGGAGCCTGGGGAGGCATAAGAACGCCAGCAAGGAGGAAAGGAAAGGTGGGATGGCCAATAACAGGACAAGCTGCTGTTGGAAATTGAGGACGCTTGATAAGGGGCAGCGGTGGCAGGGCCAGGAACAGCCATGGCCATGACGGTGCCACCACGACACAAAAAAATGAAGTCCCCAGCACTGCAAGGACATCTGCATGGACACAGAGCAAACAGATGCTGCCCTGCCTGTCGAGAAAATGGTGATCTCTTCCCATTTTGTGGTGACAAAACACTTCCTACTCCACTCCAGTGTGTTGTTAAGCAACGAGTCTCCAGCTGGTCTGTGGTGAGCCAGCAGGCACTGTGCTTGGCCAGCACCAGCCTGGGAGCAGGAGCACCAGCATCACATCTGCCTCTACAAGGGAGCATGCAGCCACCTATGGTGGCACTGCTCACCTGGTGTGTGCCCCAAAACACCACTCGTGCCAGGCTTGGGCACAACCTCCATGGGTATTGTCAATGCAGCAGTGGACATTTCTGCAGGCACCTCATTTTGGTTTCCTGTGTCTCACCTGTGGACTGACAAACCAAACCTCCCCGTGGGCTGCAGGGTGCCCTGAGTGCCTCAGCACAAGCCGCCAGTGCTCCCTGCCATGAGCAGATGAGGCTTTTGGCCCCGAGACCCAGCAAGGCTGAGGCAGCAGCTCAGTTTTGGCATGAGCTGCAGCACCATGGTCCCACTGTGCAGCCAGAGCCACCACGGCCAGCTTTTCCAGGCAGCCCTGCCTTCTGTGCCCAGCTGCTGCTCGCAGCCACTGCCTTGGCTTGGACCATGCTGAGCACCACTCTCCAGCACCACATTCTCCAGTGGCACCACTGGCTGCCCAAGGGGTGGGAAGCCGAGGATGGATTCACCCCTGTGCCCAGAGACTGGTATTCAACCACCTCAGTGCCACCACCCAGCCCATCAGCCCCGGCGCTCTCCGTGGCTCCGGTACCACGGCAGAGCCACCGCAGCCTCAAGCGCTGCCACGGGTCAGCTGTGCTGCAGCCGCCAGCCCCGCGCGCACTCCAACAACTGCAACAGGCAGATAATTGTAGTGGTTTAGGCTACTTTGCATTTACTCGCTGGCAGCGAGCTGGAACCCACCCGTCACTGCAGCTCGGTTAACCAGCAGCACTCGACAAGCCACAGCAACGCGCTCACCGGAGACTTATCGCCTGCAAAGAGGCACAGGCAGCAGCTTCCCGGGGTAGGACCAGGGCTGAGGAGAGGGACCCCAGTGCCATGGGGAGGGACCCCAGCACCACAGGGACCGTGCGGAGGAAGGAAAACGCCAGCAGTCATTGCTTCTGCCTCTGACAGACCCACTCCCCGCTGCCAATGGGAAGGCACTGCCAAACCCGATGTAAAATCCATGAAACCCACCCAAAAGGGGCTCTCAGAGGGCTGGAGACAGCACTGGGGAAGAGGATGGTGGGGGAGGCTGGCAGCACCGCTGGGGCTGGGGACAGCCAGGGGACTGATGTGACTACAGCGGGGAAGGGTTGCAGCCGCAGTGGCAGCGGGCTGGCGCCAGCAACAGGTCCCAAGCTGCAGGAGAGCCGGAGTACATCCGTGGGCAGACAAAAGGAGGGAAATGCCTCACGGGGTGAGGCCGGCAGTGGCACTTTCTCACGTGTCATGGGCACGGCAAAACCCAGACACGGGCAGCAGTCACTCTGGGGCTGGGGCATGCTCCACACGGGATGCTCCTTGCAATCAGCCACGGGATGCTCCCTGCACACAGCCATCCCGAGGACCTTTCCGAGGGCAGGACACCCCTGCCATGGTGCTGGCACAGCCCTCGACAGCAGCCCCTTACCCCGTCCCATGCCCTGCAGGACCAGACAGGGGCCCAGGGCCACGCAAAGCCCTGGGGGGACCACAGCAAAAGGCTCTGGCTGTAACCCCCCACCCCACTCCCGCGCCGGACACACGCAGTCCCTCCGCCGCGGCGGCTCCCGCACTGCCCTTCGCCCGTCGATCTCCCGGCCCGGGGCTCTCCGGAGCGGTGTCCTGCCCTGGCAGGGGCCCGGCGCTGGGCTCCGGCGGCGGCGGCCCAGCGCCCGCTGCGTCTCCCGCCGCAGTAAACACGGACACGTGGTTTCTCGGCACCTCCGGGAGCCCGCGATCGCTTCCAGGTCAGAGCCGGCCCTGCTCGCGGCCGCAGGGCCGGACCCGCAGCCCCGCGGTGGTGCCGCCGGGGGGCTCCGGGGCTGCCCCTGCCAGCGCTGCCCCTGCCCGCGGCAGGCCCGGCGGGAGGGTCTCCTGCAGCCCCCAAGGTGGGCAGCCACAAGCAAGGTCCCTCCAGGGCAGGATCCAGCCCCCAGCCAGGCCCGGGGGACGGTGGGGACGGCACTCGAGAGCGGCCGCTCTGCACACGCAAGGGCTCTGGTTCTACCAACACAGACACCCACCCCTCCACCCGCACCGTCCCCCTGCCCACCCCGGCTCGCTCCAGGGACCCCCTGGAGCCTGGTGCGGGGTGCCCCGTCCTGCAGCCGCACTCACCCCGCTCTGCCCCACGCGCCTCTCCAGTGTCCGAACCCGGGGCAGCCCGGCCGCGGCTCCAGGCTGGTGCTGCCGGCACAGCCGGGCTCCCAGGCGGCCGTTTCGAAGGCTGCGCACTACAGGAAGGAGCAGAGAGCAGCTATTTCCTTCCAAAATGTCAGCTGCCTGCGCAGGGCAGCCTGCCCTGGGCTGCTGGCAGCCACCTCTGCCTCGGCTGCCTGTGGGGTGCCGGCTGGGGAGCGGGGCCAGCACACCCTCCTGCTCGGCCCCACACACCTCCCTGGTGCCAGAGTGAGCACAGCCTCTGTCCCCAGCAGAGTGGCGGTGCTGACCCCCATGAGCCCCCATGACTGGCCAGCAGCCAGGGATGGGACGCCAGGGACCAGTGCAGGAACTCGGCATAGGGGGAGACAGGACCCACTCATCTGCACCCCCCAGCTCTGCTCACACCCCCACAGCGCATGGCATCGGGGTAGAGCCTGCACCGAGAACACCCAGGTGCTGGTGAGCAGCCCCCAGACCCAGGCCCTGCTCACAGCTGTAGCCAGGGCTGGGGGCACCGGGGCACAGCAGAGTCAGCACGGAGGGCCCAGGGCTGCTCGCATGTTTTACACCGGCCTGTGGTTTCCAGCTCTGGCTGGGAGGCAGCAGCCGGCACGGGAGCGAGCTCCTTCTAGAAGCTCTGTGCTTTGATGGGGTTTGTTTTTCTCCCACAGAAAGTGGTAGCAGCCGACGGCTTCACCCTGGCGCCATCGGGGAGGAGGCAGCTGAGTGCCCCAGCCCACGCTGGAAACATCTGGGGCCAGGCACTGTGGGGCTCATGAAGGAGGTAATGCTGGCTCTGTTAACAAAATGTGCCAACCTAGGGCAGAGGCAATGGGTTCCACAACCAGTGGGCAGAGCCAGGACTAGTAGCACCAGGACCAGCTGGGTGTCCTGGCAACTCTGGGAACCAAAAATGGAGAATTCGAACTGTTACAGGAACAAGGAAACCTCACATGTGACCTGATGCTGCCCAGGGGGGACACCAGCCCCTCACAGGCAGAGGTGCCCCAGCTAGGGACAGGCATCTCAGGGATCAGGGACAGGGGCTGCCAACAGTTCTGCTCATGCCACAGGCCAGGGGCTGTGCCTGCCTGCCAGCACTTGCCATCCTTGGGAAAGGTTTTTCTCCGCTCTTCAGATTTCCTCTTCCAACCACAGAGGCCTAGAAACCTGGTCAAACCAAAACCACCAAAATACCAAACAAAATCCCAGCAAAATCCTTTGAATGAAAGGGCTGGGACCGTGAAAGAAAAACCACCCTGGTGCACCAAGAGCCGCCCCGGGGCAGCCACAGCCAGATACAGGTGCTGTCCCGGCAGTGGTGGGATTCCCCCAGACACTGAGGATGTAGCAGGACCAGCACTGGTGGGCAGGACACACCGTGCAGCACCCAACCAGCCCCATGAGCTGCATGGAGCCTGCAGGACATTCGCCATGGGGAGCCCAGTCCCTGCCAGCATCAGTGCTGCCTCTGCCATAAACCCCCAGACAGGATTAGAGAGGCCAGGCAGAGCTTTAAGTATTCCTGGCTCCCTGGGGCCAAGCAGCCGAATTAACCGGGTGCGGCACTTCTGGGCTGGCACAGCGGGGCTGGCACAGCTGGCTCTGACGTCTTGGGGCTTCCCCTGGGCTTGGTGGAGGAATCCTGGGGCAGGCACACAGCCACTGCCTACCTGCAGCATCCCTGCTTGGGCAGGCTCTGGCCCTTGCCTGGGAGGGGACATGCCAGGGAACTGAAAGAAGGGATTTTCCCTCCACACTAATAATGACCCACCTCAAGCCCCTGTAACACCGCACTGAGGGCACAGCCCCAGGGTCCCACAGGTCCTGCGCCAGCCCCCAGCATTGAGGCCACATCCAGCACAGCCCCTGGCTCAGTGATAATCCCTGCTCAGACCTGCACCAGCCCAGGAGGGATGGGCTGGGAGAAGGACCTGAGGATTAAGCTCATTTCAGCATCGAATTAGTCCTGATTGGGGTCTGGAGACACAATTTCATTTTCTCTGCCATGCATCAGTGAGCGCACACAATGGCACTAATCCAGCCACAGCCAGGCTGGATTTTCTGTGCAGGACCCAGGTGGGTTGGGGGTGATGTGGGCAGTGCAGGCACCAAGTGCTGCTCCAGCCACATCCAATTGATACCACGCTCCTGCTCCCCGTGGGCCTGGGGACATGGGGCAGGAGATTCTTTACCACTGGCACAGCCATCCTGCAGGGCCAGCCCAGCCAGCATGGCATGGGATGGGCTTTTGGGATGGCTGGTGATCAGGGACAGGCAAAGGGACACCAGAGCAGCCTCTGCATCCCCCCTCCCAACTCCCAGGGTTCATTCCCAGCAGCTGCAGCAGCTCTGCATATGGAGATGCTCTCACACCAGCTCTGTGGAGCAGGATGGAGAGGGGTAAAGCCTTGCCTTTGGAAGAGGAGATATAGAGACACCCAGGGATGTGGGCAGGAGGGAAACTAGTCAGAGAGAGAATAAAACAACCAGAACACCAATAGTTTGTGCAACAAAATTTTCAGTCAAACCCAGGCAAGGGTGAAGCACAGCATGCATCCACATGCACACAAACATGTCTAGGTGGGAGAGCTGGGTTTCAGGTTTCCTGGCCCTGGGATGGGTTCTGCAGCCTCTGGAGCAACAGCAGCCACTGGCAGTGCCAGGGCAGAGCCCCTGCCTTTGGGCTGCACCTCGAGCCCCACCGCAGCATCTCCGTGAGTGGGGCCAAGGCAGCTGCATCCCCGGGGCTGCAGCCAGGGCCAGGTGTTCACACCAGACAGGACAAAGATCATTTTATAGCAGTTTCAGCTGGTGAGAGGGCTCACAGCTGCCAGCAAGAGCTGCCTCTTTCTCTTCTAAAGGCTTTGTGGGGCCATTAAACAAGAGGGACAAGAGGCTAGACAGAGCAAGTACCCCACGCGTGGTGGGCAGGGCTGAGCTGATGCCACTCTGGCTCTTCAAGGCAGCAGCTCTCCAGCACCAACCTTTTCCCCAGTTCCCTCCCCAGCAGAACTCTGCTATAAACCAGAAATTACAGCTCATAACACAAAGTTACAGGGAAAATGGAGATTGCAAAACTCACCAGTGACTCTTTGAACCAGGAGTGGGTTGTGACCATGCTGCGGGTTCGGCTACACCGCTGTGGCTGCCCCAGCCCAGTGAGCAGCTGCCTGGCAGCCCATCACTCCCAGCACGGTGGGAAGCGTGAGCTGGCACTCAAGGAAGCACCGGGCACAAAGTGCCTGTGAGCAGCCAGTGCTCCCAGCCCCTCTGGTGCAGCCAGATGGGTGGATTCTGCTTTATCAGCAAGTCAGCTCAGCCCTATCAGCCAGGAAGCCGTGTTCACAGTGCCTCCCCCTCGATGTTTCCCAACACAGCGGGAGAAGCAGCGTGCAGCAGCCTACCTTTTATCAGCCAGCAGATGTTGCTAGAACTGTTGCTGCATGTAAAATTCAGGCATGCCCAGCGCCACTTGGATCCCTGCACCAGCCACGCGGTGCCAGGGTAAACACCCCCGCCCCCTTCCTCCTGGGATCAAAACACTTGGGGGTTGCAAAATAGACACCCCATGAAAGGAAAGGCATGCCACAGAAACATTACAGCTGTCGAGGCTACTTCTCCCCGAGCATGCCGGAGCCCCGGAGCCAGCAGCCGGCACAGCCTCCCAGGCTGGAGCTGCCTGTGCAGCCTCAGAGCTGAGTACTGATCTGTCCCGGTGAGACAGGGACTGGAGAACCCCTGCCCTCGTCCCCCATGCCCCGGCTGCCCCACGGAGGGTGCTCTGACAGCAGCACCCACAGTGTGTGGGACACCGGGAGCCGCCACAGCTGCATGGCCAGAGGGACGTGGCCCTCAGCGCAGGTATCCAGGGGATGCTGATGGGACGGAGGTCCCACTCACCCCACACACTGCCCTGCTGTGCCAGGGTTCCCACCGGCTCCCCAGGGCTGCCGTGAAGCCCATTGAATGCAGCCCAGTTCACAGTCATTCCTTGCAAACCAGAAAGTCATTTCCCAGCCGACGGGGCCGCTTCACTGTACTCGGCCCAGCAGAGTCACCGCTCTCCACCCACGCCATGGACGAGTGCAGGGAGCAGGGATTTTTTGCAAGCAGAGTATCTGGGTTTTGCTATCACTCGAGAGAGAGCTGGGAAACCCCATGGCAAAGCCTTTGCAGACACTTTGGAGTCAGCACTTCCCCTGCAGTGAGAGGGGAAGGTCCCTCCAGAGGCTCTGTGTGCCCTGCGCCGAGCATCCACAACTGCAGCTCCCTGTCCAGTGCCAGCATCCCTTGTCCTGCTCCAAACATCAGCCTCAGCACTAGGCAGGCACAGCACA